TTAACAAAGACTGAACTGAGGAATGTGTTGAAGAGGCTTGCCTTAACAGCTTCATCGCTATAGTCTTTCCCATTAGGACCTTTTAGAGGTGGGATGGTTTTTGAGTCTTTAAGTTTGGTGTTTACAAAGTTGTATGAGTGTTGTATGAAAGGATTGTCTGCAATAAAAAGCAAGTTTCTGAGGCATTGTCCTAAGCCTCTCATAGGGAATCCCAAGCCCAGCCACAGCGTCTGCCAACAACAGGCACTGAAGTTGGAAGGTCCAAAAATGGTAACACAGAGTTCTCTGCAAGATAGAGAAGCCTCCAGTTGACTTGAAGGAAGAAGACTAGAACATTAATGCAAGTCTAGATGTGCAGTGCTTGCCTAAGACACAGGGAAATATGTGTTGTAAGGTAAATATTGTCTGATGCTGGAAATAATTATTTTGCTTCTGGTTTGATTCCCTGTATCTGTCTATACTATTTGCCTCTTAGACGGATTTCAGTCTTCATTTTTTTACTTGACTTGGTTGTCATGTACTACATGATTGAATTTCTGGCTAGACCTGTTGAACTGCCATTAACTCAGTTTAAGAAACCCATTAGACTGTTGCTGTCTCTTTGCTTATGGTGAATATTTGAAGACTGCAGGATAACTCTGCTATAGTTTTAATCTTTCATTTGCCTACTCAGTTTTGACATCTTTCCCTGAGACGAATGGGTCAGCCAATACATAGATCTTTGTTTCAATGAAAACATTACAATTTCCTTACCCTCATCATCTTTTTAATCTGTTTTCTATAGCCTGCCACTCCCCCCATCTTTGCTACCAATTCACCACTTTCCCTTGTCACTTCTACATCTTCCCCTTCCCTTAACCTTGTTTCTCCACCTCTTCACTGTTGCAGGATGTCTGCTTCTCCCAAAACAAAGAGGTAGGTCAGTTACATGTGTACCAATGGGTCAGTGGAATATGCAAATTTGAGGCATTTTTTTTAGTCTAGACACTACTAATGAACATAATTGATTGGCCAAGAAAGTAAAAACTAGCTTTAAATCATTTTTATCCTTTAAAAATTGAGTCTTCTGGAGGCAAAATCATACATAGCACCCATGGCTTCTACTTCACTGATCTGATTTTATATTTGCTCAAGATCTAGTTCAGATCTTTTACTGAAGAGTGAAAGCTCAGATAATTCACTGGTATCTTTTTCATGCAAGTCAAAACAAATCAAAACACTAGAAAGAATAAATCAGTATACTCTCTGGAGCTAAGACATAAATGGTGTCACATGGGAAACATTTTTGTCTAGGGACAGAAATACTTTTCAAAGTCAGTATCTTTATCTAGACAGATAATCCTATCCTGCCCTTGTTAGATGCATCTACAGTTTATTCCTGGTTATTCTTGGTTGTGTTTTTCAACCTACTGTCTTCTACTACTTGTAAACTGGAGATATGTTTTTAATGATCCAGATTAAATGCAGAGGTTCCAAAATCCTAATCCCAAAGGAGATGTCCCATTTCTGCAAAGTTAATTTGCTTCTTGCTAGAAAAGTACAGAACAAGATGAAGTGTTTGAATGCTTTTGATTTTCCTCTAGATTGCAAAAATGTTGGTCAGTGAATTAAGTTAGTTTCCTGACAATATTAGGGTGTAGTATTTCCATGAATGAATCTTCCATAGAGAGCATCAAGGACTCTGATTTCACCCTGCAGGTTTGTGCTAATTCTCTCCCAGCTGGGCTGTGGCAATCTTTTAACCCTGCAGCTTGACAGTTTGCCAAAAGCCAGCCCTGCCTGCTGGCTCAGTGTCTTTTCTGCCATCCTGAAGCTGTGAAACCTCCAGAGCCTTGCCCAGGGCTCAGAGTCTCTTGCAAGCAGACTTGCTTTTTTCTCTTCTCTTTCTTCTCACAAAAATAAATGTGATAAAGCAAGGATGTGGGGGGGATGCAGGCAGGAGGTTGATCTGTAAGTTCCTTGGTCAACCATGGAGACCTCAGGCTGACTGCTCAACTGTATAATCTGCCATGTGGATGGTTACAGCCTATAGTCCTAGCTCTGAGGGTTTGAAAAATAGCAAACATGGTTACATGGGAGGATCTTTATTTATTTACACATATGTATGTTTTGAAAAAAAAAGTTATTACCCTTCAGTTTGGGGTGGGGCAATTTTCAACAGACTGTAACACTGATTGTCATGGCTGTATCTTACCTATCCAAGTTTCATGTGCTGGAAAAGCAAAAGCAGTTTACTTTTCCCCCCCTAGAATTGTGGCAGTAGTATTAATTAATTTTCACAGTGCTAATGACAAGCATAAACAGTGTTATTATTTTGCATCACTGAGAACAGTACTTTCAAGAAGAAATTAAAACCAGGAACAAGTCTGCTGTTCTCCTTTTTAGTATTATATTGTAAATATATTGGATACTGTAGATTAAAAAATATTCTCTTATTGCCACATTAGAAAACAAGCAAGTGTTTATAATGATTGTGGTTATTATTTGTTAGCAAAGTGACATAAATACTGGTGCATCAGCACTACTAAAATAATTTCATCTGACTTTCATTACTGTGTTTGCAGAAATAATTCTATAAAAACTAACCTGTAGCTGAAGATAAAATCGGGCAATATGTCCAAATCGATAGAAGTGTGCAACTTGCTTTTTAATTGTGAGGTGAAATAGGATAATTATATTTGTATGTGTTGATCAAATAAAATGCCTTTGGATGCTTAAGATTTGTTCTATTACAATCTTCTTGGACAAAAAGAAAAATGGGTTGAATTAAAGGTTATGGAATATTGCTTAAGGTAACATCTTGTTATTACATATTTTCATTACGTCTTAACATGTTTATGCTGAAATAAATTTCCATCATGTAAAGGCATTAACTTTTCCATTTTGCCCAAGTATAAAATCATTCATTGTCAGCTTACTTCTTCTTCCTTCCAATCTATCATGGTTTGCCAATGCCTGCTTCCTAGAGCTAAGAAAAAGTGACTGGGCCGTGGTTACCCAGCTAGCTTCATCTCTAAGGCAGAACTCACAGTCTTCTTTTTTCTAACTTGATGACTTAACCACTACACCAAACTGTTTTTTTTCCCAATGATAAGCACAATCTTAAGTGAGCTAAAGTTCACTTTATGAGAGGCAGGGAGTAACTAGAGATATGCAGAAGTTAACAATGACTAGAAGAAAGAAATAAACTAATTTGTTTGAATTTTTTAAATATAATGTTATATAGTGTGTTGTTTTCTTGAGAATTCTATATCTTATATTGTGAAGGTCTTAACAATTGTTCCTGTTTGAAACCTCTCATGAATATGTGTGTATCCATGTCTTAGCTATGAATTAATGTTTTAAAGAACTGAAAAAAATTGCAATTTCTCTCATTCTTTATCTTTGTGTGGAATTCACAGAACAATTTTACATAATTCATTCATATGTGATGTTTTGACTTCTTCACGCCAGATGGCTAACAGGTGCATGTCGTGTAAGATTTTATGTTTAATACTGATTCTCACCATCTGAGATTTTTAAATCCCCAAATAGATAGAATAATGTACCAGCTTTTCTTGCAAAAGGACTGTATGGCTGCCGATTAAACAAATTATGAACTTGGTTATCTCAAACACACAGTGGTAGTAATTAGAGAGGCTGGGAAAAGGAGAAGAATAATCAATTAAATAATGCTAATTGGACATTGTTATCATTTATCCTCTTTTTCCTTTTTCCTTTATTCTAACAGCTGCTGTAGGATTTTTCATATATGTTAGATGATGCAGTTTGTTTGCTTAAAACAAAGTAATAGGTTCTTTCTATATTAAGAAAATAATTCTGTTGTTTTTTAAAAGGGTATGCGTCAGTGGTATTTTAATGGCTAATCTGCTAACATGTCAGACTCAAATGAGTTTGATTATTTTAATTTTTCCTCTTTTTTAGCTATTTATGTTCGTGATGAGTATCTTTGTCACAACTGCCAATATTTTTTTTGAATCCTAAATCTTTTATCTATGGTATGTCTATAGTATTCAGATTTGAAACAATTTCTGCTATGTCTTTCAAGTGAAATTTGGTCTCCATTAGATAAGTGTTATTGTTATAATTCACCAATTGTAATATGCTACATGCAACTGATACACAACCTGATATTTGTGTGCAAAGCTAGGGAATTATCTTATTTTTAAAATAATTGTCTGTTCTAATAATGATATGTTGTTGTTATACATAAAAATAATACCTTGATTTTATCCTGAAACTCTCAGTTCATTGCAGCAAAAAAAGAAAAAAAGAAACTATAAAGAAAAATGATATAAAACCTTGCTCCAATGGATCCCTTTTTCTTCTATTTTGCAAATATTGCCTTATTCCAGTTATGACAGCCCTCTGGGCATTTCCTCTACAACTAGTTGACAAAAGCAAGAGATATTCATTTTTATTACTGTGCTTTTCTGATACAGTCAGCCATCTGTTATGGATGCTTCTAGACAGGCAAACCTCAAGTGGTCCTCAGTAGATCGCAATGTACACACCAATAACTATAACCTAATATATTTTCCTCTGATACAGAAGGAACATTTGACTCCATTCCTGAACAAAACCCAACTCCTTCTTTCCCTTGAGATTAAATAACCAGGAAAGAGTTTGTTCTAGTCTTTTGGTTTTTTTTAAATAATCCCTGGGAAACAAAAAGAGAAGTTTCATATTCCAGAATCAATCACATATAGACCTTTAGGTGCCTGAGTAGGTCAGACTGAATGTGTCAGTTTACTATATTTTACTTTGGATGTGCTCAAAGCCATGTCTGATTTCTTTCAAACAATTTACTCTGAAAATGTGTCTTTTGTACACCATGAATTAATTGTGATTTATAAGAAATACAGTATATTGTTTTACTACACCTAAATGTTGGAACCCAAAAGTTGTCTAAATCTGAAGGGTGCAATTGTTTTATTTATAGTTATTTGCATAATAAACAGTAGTACTTATGCTTTAAGTCCATAAAATCTAAATGCCAGTACTCTGTTTATTGTAGATGATAACATACTGCATGGACCAGTTTTTATCCAGGAACCAAGCAGCGTGATTTTTGCACTTGACTCTGAGGAAAAAAAAGTTAAACTGAACTGCGAAGTAAAAGGAAATCCTAAGCCAACCATAAGGTAAACTGTAACTTTATCAACAATTTTGTCAATATCCTACAGCATCCAATAATGTGTCTATGCCAATCAGGCCTCCATGAAGCAGCCCTATTTTTTATACAATCCTACTTTTTATAAAATAAAATCTGAAATCTTATGTTACTGTGAAATGCCATAAGAGATTCACAGAAATGACAACAACTCCTATGACTGCTGGAATTCAATGACATTTTGTCAGTCTCACACAATATCTCAAGAGTTCAATAATATTTTAGCTATCAGTTGGAAGTGTGCCCAGATTTTCCCAACCCATTGAGGTATTTTACAGTTGACTAGAATCAAGTTTCCAGTTGATAAGAAAAGTTTGCTCATTTCTGTTCTATAGTAATCAAGAGAGATTCTATTACTTAAGTAGCTCCTGCTGGTAGGAGTAGATACTAGGATTAACTGAGCATCTGCAAATTTGCTCCTTTCCTTGTTTCCGTGTCTTATATGCACAATTTTGATCCTATATAGTGTTTTATTCTTTTGCTGAAGTCATGTTCTTAATGACACATTTTTAGTGAAATCTAAAGTCTTTAGGAGAGCATTTTGCTATAGTGGTTATGTTACCAGGATAGAAACCAGGGATCTGAGAGTTTTAGTCCTGTTTTAGGCATGAAAGTCAGTTGGGTGACTTTGGGCCTGCCCATAATGTCAGGCTCAGGCAACAGGCTAGTCAGGCAGTTCCTGTTCAACCAATGGGTCAACACTCAGGAAATCCAAAAATGTTGATCCTGCATTTGTGGGGAAATGTTAGAAAGGGAAAAAAACTGTTTTATTCTTTTGCTGAAGTCATGTTCTAATGGCAGGATTTTAGACACTAATGTGAAAGGGACAAACTTGATTTTAAATAAAACAAATGTATGTAAATGACAACATAATGAGGTAGTAGATATAAAGAATTTATTTCTTAATATGTGGTATTGGGCTAGGATATTTAGTTCTAGAATGGTACAACAGTGGTGTAAATAATATTTCAGCTATTGTAATGTGTAACATTTTAGATTTTAGGAAATCATAATTGCCTGCTTGTTAGGAAGTAAAAAAGGCATTTTTGTTGTATGTCTTCTTTTTGAATACACAAACAAATATTTAAGTGAAAAAATTTAAATTACCGTCTCTTTTGGAATATAGGTGGAAGTTAAATGGAACCATTGTTGACATTGGTATGGATTACCGCTACAGTGTGGTTGAAGGCAGCTTGTTGATCAATAATCCCAATAAAACTCAAGATGCTGGAACATACCAGTGCATAGCAACAAATTCATTTGGAACAATTGTTAGCCAAGAAACTAAACTGCAATTTGCTTGTAAGTAGAAATTATATAATATGTCATATACTGCTTTATTATAACATAATATTGGGAAAAGCTATAACATTAGCTATGTTGGAATAATATTTGTTATTTTATTTAGAATGTGTCCTGATTTGGAGAATAAATTCTTAAATTGGTTCAGAAATATATTTTGATAGGTTTTATTTTGGCTAAAAGAGTAGTAAATGTTGATAATTTTTTTAGTTGGGTAGAAAAGAAGAAAGATCTATCACTATAGATCTGATAAGCTTGTACTGTTTAACATCTTAAGCTTCTGAAGATTTCAAATGTGCATGAGTGCTCTCTCTCATTCTCTCCCCCCCTCTCAATTTACACAATACTTCATAAAATTACCAACAATTCAGTGATAATAATTTGGGCCTTTAGTAGGTCACTTAAAGGTTATCTCTTTCAAATGTCTTCTCTGCTGTCCCAAGGTGTAATTATATTATAGGGGATAGATATAATCAACTTACAGAGGAAATGGGATGCATAAATATTTAATAAAGTAAGAAAAATAAAGAAAAGTATTGAACTATAAATACTGTGTTGATTTTCAATGAGGAAAATAGGAATCAAAAGAGGCTGTTTTTTTAAATGTTGAATCAAGCTTAGAGGTATGGAACTGAATAATATGTTCAGGAGATATGCCCAATAAATAGAACAGTACAGATAGTGTAATGAAATGTCTTGTTTTATACTTCAAGGAGAGCAAATTAATGAATGCTATCTCCATTAAGTAGAATTTTAGATAGGTTCAGATTCAGAATGTTGTAGAGATTCATTATATCACATTAAGCTGCAATAGATTTGTTAGATACAAATTATATGAATACAACAATTGCATCTTCTTATACCATTTACAGTTTAGTGTTGTGTTAACCTAGCCATTTAGTAATTTAAAAATAATAAATATCTGAGGCACCATTTACATAGTGTTTATGTAGTTTGAGCACGAATTCTAAGACCTTGCTAGAAGAGGAAAAGGAGAAGAAGCAGCAGCAGCTAAAATGCTCTTGGACTTCAGAAAACAAACAAGCACTTTCCACATAACATCCCAGGTGTTGATAAGAAAGGCAAAAAGTATGTATAGTGGACTTTACAGTACTTGGAGACATCAGAATAGAAGAGGAGGACCTGGAGAAAATCACAAAATACAAATACTTGCAAATAGAAGTAGAACAAAAGAAAGCAAAATTAATACCAATAGTAATAGGTGTCTTGAGTGCAATCCAAAAACTTCTGGAATACCACCTGAACACCATTGGCATTGACAAAATCACCCTCAGTCAATTTGCAAATGGCAGCTTTATTCAGAACAGCTTGCATCATGCAACAATACCTTTAAACACCAAATAATAATTCTGCCTATCCCAGGCCCTAAGGATGGACTGAATAAGTGAATAAAAATGCCAGATAGAATACAATAGAATAGAATTCTTTATTGGTCAAGTGTGATTGGACACACAAGAAATTTGTCTTGGTGCAAATGCTCTGAGTGTACATAAAAGAAAAGATACATTCGTCAAGAGTCAAGAATCATAAGGTACAACACTTAATAATAGTCATCGGGGACAATAAGCAAACAAATCATACTAGGAAACAATCAATATAAATCATAAGGATACAAGCGTCAAAGTTACAGTCATACAGTCACAAGTGGGAAGGGATGGGTGATAAGGAATGATGAGAAGATTAATACTAATAGTAGTGCAGACTTAGTAAATAGTGTTTACTAACACTATTTTGACAGTGTTGAGGGAATTATTTGTTTAGCAGAGTGATAGCATTCAGGGAAAAAACTGTTCTTGTGTCTAGTTCTGGTGTGCAGTGCTCTATAGCGTCATTTTGAGGGAAGGAGTTGAAACAGTTTATGTCCGGGATGTGAGGGGTCTGTAAATATTTTCACAGCCCTCTTTTTGACTCGTGCAGTGTACAGGTCCTTAATAGAAGGCAGAGTGGTGGTAATTGTTTTTTCTACCAAACCAGACAGTTATAGAGGTGCAGATGACATACTCAATAATTCCTCTGTAGAACTGTATCAGCAGCTCCTTGGGCAGTTTGAGTTTTCTGAATTGGCGCAGAAAGAACATTCTTTTTTGTGCTTTTCTGATGATGTTTTTGATGTTAGGTGTCCATTTTAGGTCGTGTGATATAATAGAACCTAGAAATTTGAAGGTCTGTACTGTTGATACTGTGTTGTCTAAGAGGTGGTAGTATGGGAGAGTTTCTCCTAAAGTCTACCACCATTTCTACGGTTTTGAGTGTGTTCAGCTCCAGATTGTTCCAGTTACACCACGAGGCAAGTTGTACAACCTCCTATCTGTATGCAGATTCATCGGTGTCTCGAATAAGACAAATCACTGTTGTATCATTTAAATCTGGTCTAAACATCTGGCTAACTGTGACTAACCATAACAGTTCATCTTTTTATAGTATTTTAAGGCATAAAAATCACACAATTTATTTATTTTTTCTATATTTTATTAAAGAAAAAGAAGCTTAGCTAAAAACCAACCCACCAGATGCCCAGAATGACTAAGGATCTTTTTTCATACATTTTGATGATGAAAATATGCTAAAATCAATTTTACACAATTGTTTCACTGCTGGTAAATGTTTGGAGACATTATGCTTCCTGTGCTTATATATTCTTACGCTGAAATTGCTGTCAATAATCACTATGTGATATGATTGATTGATTGATTATGTGCCATCAAGTCAGTATTGAATTTTAGTGATAACATAGATCGATTTTCTCCATGATGATCTGTCCTAGCCTAATCTTTCTGGACTTCCAGTGGTGCACCCAACATTCCTCTAAGTCTGTCAAAGTGAATGGAAGCAATTCTCATACTGCATGAATTATATTAACTTAATAATTAAAATTATCATTTCATTTTTAAATAATTTCCTTAACTATTTATTGAAATAAATAAACATAGATAAACAGCTTCATGTGAGGAGCCAGGTATTTTTTCTAGAAAAAGGAAGAAGTAATCTAAAATAGTAGCAACATCTGAGGAGGAAGACATGAGAAGATCATCAGTGCATCTTCTGATTGCATGTAAATTTTGTGATCTTTGCATCCTTTCATTTTTGGGGGGCTTTGCTCCCTAGAGAAAGGAGAAAGGGCAGAATTGGGGTATGCAAAGTCCTTGGGTCTAGTAATCTATTCTCCCTTCAGGGTAACAGAAAATAAAAGTTATTATGGCACTATCACCTTTGGAGCTTCAGGTTCATCTGACAGATTTACAAAAGGACACATCTTTTTCATCTTACACACATTCTATGAAACTAAATGAGACTGAAGGACCTGGTAATGCTTAGCCTTGAGAAAAGATGATTCAGATAGCACTTTTCAAATACCTCGTACAGAAAAGGTCAAGACCATTTCAATTTTGTTTCAGAGCCCAGGTAATGGAACAATGGATTTAAACTGAAGGAAAACAGATTGTGATTGGATATTAGGGATTTTTTTTTCTAATAATAAGAGCATTCATTAAGTGGAACCAGTTACCCATCGAACCCTTTATTGTCTGTGTTCAAGTTGACACTGAACAACTGTCTGTCTGAGATGCTTTAATCAGGGTTAGGACTCACTGGGCAAGATTCCCGTTTTTGACTTGATTGCCCCTCTGCTTGGAAGTTAAAGGATTGCAGCCTAAAGATCTGGGTAGTTGTGGAGAATTCATAAAGTTGCAGATTTCCCTTGAGACATGGATGGTTTATTACATGGTTTCTGAATGATATACTTTAATTTGTCCTTGGTAAAAATAATTTTATGAAGAAGATAACCTTATAACATTAATACTGCAGCTTCAAGGCTGGCACTTTCTGGTGAAGAGACCTATTTTGTTTACTTTTTTCCTTGCTTGATGATGTCAGGCTGCTAACTGCCTTATGACAGAAATCACAGAGTTGGAAGCTAAGCTTGTTTTAATTTGTGAGCACTGCTCACTGAAGTCTCTCTTATTCTTAACTGTGGTACTGTTTTAGTCCAAGATCTCTGATAGCTGACCAAATATCTACTGTTTAATTTTATTTTAATTAAGAAAATTGTCTTTTATAAGCAACAATATTTTAGTTTCCTAGTAATGAAGTAGCAAGTGGCAACTCTTATGACCAACAAAACATTTAACCAAAGTAACACATCTTGATTTAAATTAGTATGGGGGAGATAAATAACTCTTTTGAAGTTTGCTCTGTTCCTTCCTCCAAGAAAAAGCAAAAATGGGATAACATAAAGGTAACAAGAGAAATGTCTGAAGCATTTGATTTGCCAATTGTTTGCAAGATAATAAGTATAAGTGTATACATAGTTGTGAATACATGAAATGGGTACATATAAGAAAAATAAAAGAAGAATAAGAGAAACAATAGGACAGGGACGGTAGGCACGTTGGTGCGCTTATGCAC